CCAGCATTTGTTGTGCCCATGTCTTCTCCCCTCCATGCCCAAGCTAGCCCTACCTTTCCAGCATGGCAGTCTTGCACTTCTCCACATTTAGCTGCTTCTGGAGCTGCACAGCTTTTCCACGTGAAGGACGCAGAACTGGATGTTTAGTAAGAGCTGTGGCAGAAGGTCTTTCCACTGGGTCAGGGTGGATCATGAGCTAGAAGGCAAAGGAGTTCAGCATTTAACACTCCCTCTGTCACATGCCAACTGGAAAAGCCTCCATCCTGTCAAGACTACTCCCTCACCTTGAGGAGCTCAAGAAAACGATGAGGAAGCTTCTGAGGGATTGGTGGGATATTGCCTTCGCGAATGTGGTGCCACATGGCACCGTTGTGAGGCAGCGGTGCTGTGCCAGCTGCTAGAGCTACTGTGAGTGCCAGGGCAAAGATGTCTGCCTTCGGCAAATAGCAGTATTGCTGCAGAGAAAAGATAAACAGTTATAGAAAGGGAACGTCTGACTGTACTGAAGTGGGTTGGGATACCAGCTCAAAAAGAAACAGCCAAACAAGTATATGTATGACACTGCTGTGTTCACCCTCCCAGTGAGCTGTTTTCTCCTCTTTAGGATAAAAACATTGATAGCAGATAGTATTGATAACTACTAGCACATTAGCTTTCACTCAATCATGAGGGGCTTGCAGCCCACATTAGGATCACCACAGCAACTCCAGAGGACCGCCTAACAAATGTGTGCCTCCAGCCTTCACCACAAGACCATAAGCTAGCCATGCCCAACTCAAACTAAGACTGCATGTGATACATTGACTTAACAGTTCTAAAATCCACTTGAAGCACAAAAAAAGATACTGTCACTTAAACACCTGAGTTGATGAACACATCCAAGCTGGCTGTTACATACTGATTCCCTTTTGTTTGCTAGCCAGAGTGGCAAAACTGCTGTCAGTTCAAGAGGTGTGTTGTGCCTCCCACCTCTCCACACTGATGCTTGTTGTACAAGGCATTTGGTGTATATATTCTTCAGTAATCACATCCAACAGTTTAATCCCAGCTGGGTGTGTCAATAAAACCTTTATCAATTTGAAGACATTTTACCCCATTCATTCCTCTCAGGTAAGATAGGTGCAATAATCTAATGATAAAGTTATTTATGAAGTATATTTAATAGTTACATTACAACACCCATGCCTATACTATTCTCAATAAACTGTTAATTTTGCTGATTTCACAGCCAGACCAGACACAAAAAAGGAGATAAGGCCAGAAATATGCCAGACTAATGATTTCACTACATTTGATCTCTCCCCACTCACTCACCACCCTGTTCTCCCCACCACCCCACCAGCAACTCTACCTCTTGCAAAATCTCATTGGCCAAAAACCGTCGGTCTCCTTCCTCCACCTGGGGGTTTGTTATTGATGTCACATGGCCAAGGTCACCTGAGACAAAGATTGAGCAACTAATGGAGCAAACTGTTGTAGATCTCTTCCATCAATAAAAGCCTGCATTTTATAGGCATCAACAGAGAAATCAGGAAATACTGAGTAAGAGACCAAGCTTGCTCCTACTCAGGAATCTGGACTTGGAAACAGGCACATGAGTTTTCTAGGACTTGTCATCTTAGAGGAATTACTTGTGGTAAGTAGCAGAGGCATTCAGGACTATGCCATCAGTTTTGTATACAAGTCTCTTCATCCAGCAGCACAGCGCTGTACGAAGCAGTAATGCGCAGCCCTAATCTTAAGCTACTTGTAAAGTGGGCTAAAACCTACCAATCTTGTACACCACACCAGAAGAGAATTCATCTTCACTGTCACTCTCTTCCTGCCCCGCAGGGCTCACAACTGCCAGCTTGTAACAGATGAAGATATTACCTGCAAGACAGTGAAGTTTAGCAATAGTGTGATACCAGTAGCCAGACTGCAGCAGCCTGATAACTTTGTAGAAATCCCACTTGTCAAACTAGCTAAGCTTTGCAGCCAGAGAAGTTCTGGACGTGCTTCCCACCCATTAGTCTGCTTTCTGCCCAGCTTCCATATTCAGCAATACAGCTGACAGAAGACAGTTGTATCTTGTGCTTACAATATCCTAGTGTAATCAACTTTCTGTCCCTCCCTCTGCTCCCCAAGCTAAAAGCATGATTTTAGCAGGAAAGAGGAGCTAACTATGTGACTGGGAGGGGGGTGGGGGGAGCATCACCCTGGGGGTGCCCATTGTCAGCTGCAGAGAGGAAAGCTTGTTACTATTTTTTGCAGGAATTTAATCCCTCCAGGTAGGTACAATAAGTATTCACTCCTCACTCCAGGTCTCACATAGAAAGGTCAAGTGTTGTGCAACAAGGCAGCAGCAAATAAGGAAGTCCCTGTCTTCATTAGCAGCCCTACTTGCTCCACCAGTATGAAAGTGATTCCCGTGAGCCAGGATTCTGAAGATCATGACACAGAAGTAAAATGCTGCCAACTAACAAAGAAGGTTCAGTTTTAGAGCAGCAGTAATAGCAAGATTTAAAAAAACAAAACAAACAGCCCACCACACAAGACATTCACCTTTTAAGGCAAGATCCTCTTTCCTTTGAAGCACTGTAACAGGTCCAGTCAGAATGACCTCTTACAGGTCCTGCCCCTGGAGGGTCACTTGGAGGACCCACAAAGGAGGAGAGCACTACACTTACTAGGTTTGATATCCAGGTGCACAAGGCCAGAGTTGTGGATGTATTTTAGCCCCATGGAGACTTGTAACAGTATGTCTTTCAGCTTTGATTCTGGGAAATACTGGCCAAGCTTTGTGTTTTCCAGCAGCACATCTTGGAGGCTCCCACCTAGGTGAAAACAGTCAGAGACCTGACAAAGATTTTGTGGAGCAGCATATCAATAGCTTAATAGAAACTATTGCCCAGAGCACTGCAGGCTTGCTAGTGACAAGCCCCGACCAGACCGGCTATATAAGCTCTAGTGATCAAACTTGGGTATCACCATTTGGCTTCAGCCTTTCCATTGCCTTGAGCGCCCTGTTTCCTGCTTGCCAAGGTCTGTGCGACTACAGCACCAGAAGGGCTGACCTGGTAGCGATGCTGCTACAAGTGAACAGTGGAAGTTCAATACTTTTGCCATGGACCAGACCAGCTATATAAGCTCTAGTGATCAAACTTGGATATCACCATTTGTCTTCAGCCTTTCCATTGCCTTGAGCACCCTGTTTCCTGCTTGCCAAGGTCTGTGCACCAGAAGGGCTGACCTGGTAGCGATGCTGCTACAAGTGAACAGTGGAAGTTCAATACTTTTGCCATGCTTACAGGCAGAAAGCAGGTACATGAATGGTGGACCAAGGAAATTAAGCTCCCACTAGCAGTTTTTTGATTGAAGAATGTAACATTTGACAGAAGCAGAATTTTGTAGGTCTCCATTAAGATACTCTGACTATTTCAGGACTAGCAAATACTACGGCCTCTCTCTCCCCATCAGCCTGCTTTTCACTACTTCTCCTTTAATCTCAGACATTCTTCCACTAGAACACAAGAAATGCATCAACACTGCAGCAGTGATCGCCACGTTTCATAGTTACCTCCACCAGATTTCAAATCATTACTCCAAACAGCTATCACCACTCATCATTGAGCCCCAAGACTACAGGAGCAGTTGAAAGATGAGAGCTACACATTTGCCTTCTGCTCTTCTGGCAGCTAGAGGTGTCTTTTGCAATGCTTCCCAAACAGTGGTATGGCCAAAGGCAAACCCAAGTAAGAGTGTACCACCGTGCCTGCACAACCCCGTTTACAATTTACCTCATTATTTAGCTTCGTTCCTCTGCAGCTGTTGAGCCCTTTCTTCTGGCCAAGACGCAAGGTGCCTTCATCTCAACCAGATAGCCACTCTTCAAATCATTACTCCCCTTCATTAAGAAGGGTTTGTTTCCAAGATACATGGTGCTTAAGTTAGCTGCTCTTGGCTTACTCATACCAGTTTTTACCTGGGCAGTCCAAGACACAGCATTGCCATGGGAAATAATTTTCCAGGCCAGGCAACACAGAGGAACAGTTTTAAATACCACAAATCAGAGGGTATTCACTACTTCTAAGATGTTAGCACCATTCAGAGCTTTTGCTAAATGTTATGAGCCCTTAGTGGATTCTCCATGAAACTGTAGCACCAGTGCAGTTTGCTTTGTTGTAAACCAAAACATCCCATATTTAGGTAGAAAAGGTAACTGCACCCATCCTGAGATCTCAGCCTTTAACAACATCACAGCTCTTACCATTGCAGTGTTCATTTTGGATAATCATGTGATCGTCCTCTGCCCACGCTGAGTAGTAGCGCACAACATGGGGGTGGTGTCCAAGGACTGCATGAGCATAAACCTCGCGCAGTGCCAGCTGCCTAGAGAAGCACGCACAGAAAAAGCAGTGGTGACAGGTAGCCTGGCTTGAGAAAGGGAAAGCAGATATGTTTAGGACTTTCTCTTGAGTTTTGGCAGATGGACTGGCTCTCACAGCTGCTGATGCCCCTGCCCTTAAAAAGGATGTTCAGGAGCACCACATCAAACTTGCTGAGCAGCTGTCAAAAAATATATCACTGAGCAAGTCTTTTGTTGAAGAGGCAAAGGCAGCTTCAAAGACTTGGCTTCAGCATGCAGGGCAAGACTAGCTGGTCCACAGAGATGTGAGCAGTGCTGGCTGTACAGCAGGGCAGGGATGTACCAGTAACAGCAGGCATTATTTTAAAGAGACTGGCTGCACGGACCTGAGGAGTTCAGGTAAGCTGTCATCCCACTTTGCAACGCATGTGCCTTCTTCCCTTTCTCATACATTTATATTCAATAGTCCTAACACAGTAACTTCACCCACTCTTCCAACTGCTGCTTGGGAGCACAACAGCAGCCAGGTTTTGCTCATGCCACCCCTCAGATACCTTTAGATCCACACTCCCTCCTTCCGCATCACACCTCCCAAGAACTTGCCCAGCATTTCAACTGTCAGTTTCCAGCTAGCACACTCACTCATCTGAAGATCCTGCCAGAGGCTTTTTGGAGCGTTTAATGGCATAAACACATCCATCAAGGCGTTTGATGCACTTGTAGACAGAGCCAAATTCCCCCACACCAATTTTTTCTAGTTCCAGGAACTCCTTCTTGTAGCGGGAAACCATATTGCTCTCCTTCAGAGGACATCTCTACAACATCACAAAAACAGCCAAGACACAAGTATGAATTGAAAGACTTCGATAATAACATCTGTCATGTTTTTAGAGCTGTGTAGCACTTGGTCTCACAGAGCACCCATGTTGCTCCCTCTCTCATTCTGGATGTTAATACAGGCATGTGTGCAGGTGCACTGCCAGTTCTTCTTGAAATGCTACCTTCCACTTCGGCACGCTGAGTTTTTTTTCTGACCACCTAACAAAGGCCCTCTTGGCCAAGTTTTGTTGGTTTGGGGTTATTGGTTTTTTTGTTTTGTTCTTTTTTTTTAAATCATGACTTTCTAGCCATAGAGGTAGAAATTGCAGCTAAGGAGAATTACAGTCTGGCTGGCTGTATGTGCCTAAGCCTCCTTGGGTTACTACCATCACATCTCTTCTCATGGTAGCCCTGCCCAGTTCCTAGACCCATGGCTGATTGAGTCAGGAATCAACAGCGGGCAACAGCAACATACTTGTCTTTTGCCCAGCTGCTGCAGACTTGAGAAGACCTGTTACCAGCCTTAGTAGGCAGAAGTCCAGTCACTCTTTATTAGCCAGACTCATGTACTGAACTTGTGATTAATAAAAAGCTATTGCCTATTTTTGAGCTCAGGAGAGAAGCTCGGTGCATTGGCTTAGTGTGGCCCCCGCTATGGGGCCTAACTCCAGCAATAAAGGTTGCCTGCAGCAAGGACATTCTGCATCAGTTCACGCTGTTATCGTGTTTGAAGGAACAGCTGTTGACTAATGGCAGATTAGCAGGTCTCAGTGTATCTGTTTGTATTCCCAGTGATTTCTGATCAGGAGCTGCTTTTCCACAAAGCGCTGAAAGCCTGCAGAACAGCTACAACATCATTATCGCTACAGTAATGGTCACTAGGGAAATAGGAGCTGCTGGTACTGCTTATAGAGTGATGTCTACTGGCAGGGGAGATAAGTAAAGAAAAGATGAGCATCCCTTACAGTGACAGCAGCTCATGTTGCACAGTGGTTTCCACATAAACAACTGCTGGGATTGGTGCTCGTATACAGTATATGACCTTAAAGAGTGGGGGCAAGGAGTTGGTCCTCACAGCCAGCAAGAAACATATGAAACATCGTATGAAACATCAGCCCTTCACAACAGGTTATAATTCATAAGGCAGCTATATTTTACAGTAGCTTAAAGTTTTATGAGGAGTGGCTGAGGGAACTGGGGTTGTTTAGCCTGGAGAAAAAGAGGCTGAGGGGAGACCTTATTGCTCTCTACAACTACCTCAAAGGAGGTTGTAGCAAGGTGTAGTTAGTTGATTCTGTGATTCTAAAAAGCTCAGGAAATAAAGATACCTCCTAGTACACAATTTTAGACTTGTGTTATATGCTCATTCTAATCCGTGCTGGAGCAGAATAATATTTCTGTGAGTCACAAGTTATTTAAGGCTTTCTTCTAAGGAAAACAATGATTGTGATAGCCCTGGATGTTACCTGGTAGCAGATTTACTTTGCAGCTCTAGTTTTTCCATGGAGACCAGTTTGTCTGCAATACCAGTCTCCTCTGCTAGAGGGTACCATTATTCTTCCAGTAAGCCTAATCACAATTATAATGAACAAATAATTCTACCTACCTGCACAAGACAGATACTTCCTTCAAGGGGCTGCTCAGGAAAACAGAGCTTTTTACCTCATCTGAACACAGATATGTAATTCAGGCTTGGCTTGCTTTCTAGAAGCCAACTGGGTGAGTATCTTCCTCCCAGATAGAGCTGGGAAGAAGGAAGAAGGCTGTAGGGCACTGGTTCCCACACCAGCCACCCAGTTCTGCCAGTGCAGCTGGGGGTACATGAGGCCTCGCACCCTGCCCCGTGCAGCCAGGCCAACGCACTCCGATACCGAGGTTTGCCACCAAAGCACAGACATCAACACAAAAACAACTTCTCTTGCTGTTATTGTAAGACATTGTTTGCTGTCCTGTAGCTAGGTAAGCTGTGGTGGAGTCTTCCCTTGGACCTTGAGGAAAATAAACACCCCCAACTGAACATTTTCCCACTGAAGAAGAATATAGAATTTTCTGCCTCGCTTCAGGAGTTTGCCATTGTGACTACTGCAACTAAAACTCAGCCCTCAGTACCTATCCACACCAGAACGGTTCAGCTCAGGCTTTCTGTCTTTGCAGTGCAGGTCCATATATTAATTGCAAGATAGAAACCATGTTCCATTCACATCTAAAGATTCTCAGTACACCAATTCATAAGAACAGCAACACATCTGCTGCTTTTCAAGCCACAGAGGTACAGTCACTCTTCACACTAATTCAATATACTAATACAGCAATTACTTTCCCCTCCGAGGAACTCCAATTATATAATATTTCCTAAAAAGGCCTCCTGACCAAATTTGATGAGTTTTAGGATTAGTTGTCAAAGCTTTAGATCTGCTTTAGTAAGTCTCCTTTAGGGCTAGGAATCATTTACAAGTTTGTGATCTCAAACAAATGTTAACATAAAACATTCAGCTTGGAACTATTCTATCATGGGTAATCATCCTCTGTCATGTCATGATTTAAATTCCAGTAGCAGAATAAATTCCATCAAGCAGCAAGTATTTACAAGCATCTTATCCTCTATGTGGGAGGAATACATAGAGACACTCACCTTGGTAGGTAGCTCCTGTTTTATCTGGCTTCTTGGAACAGGATCTCTCCTATAACAGAAGTTTAGGAAACTCTGGATGTATTATGTCAGTACAACAATCCAACTGAGATTTGAAGTGAAAACATTTTTCAAAAGAATCTCCAAACCTCATATCACAGTTCAAAGATGTGTTTTGTAGAGGAATAATACACAATGAGTTTCTAGTTGAGGCGTTAAAGACTGTAGTCCCAGGCTAGGAAGTCTTTGTTTCCATTTAGAAAGCCTCCACATACCAACTTTTGTAGTGCCCACTGGACATGGGAGCATCATTCTCCTGGCCACCTCATTAGTGGTGAAGCTACACAGAGATGACCTTGCACAACAAGCTCCTAGCAAAAGCACTGTGCAGCAGTTCTCTTTCAAGGGGGATACCCAGCTGAGCAGCTGTTACAGTTGGGGCTGTGAAAGCAGCTGAACATCATTGTAGTGCACAGGTATATGACTAAGTTTGTGCCTTGGTTAACCCTGACCAGATCCAGAACTTTTGCAGGTCAGCAGTAGCCTGCACCCATCTTAAAAGCTGTATTACACATAAACATGCATGTCATTTCTTCCAAGTTGTGGGTATGTGCATAGCTGAATCAAGCTCCACTCTACCCATGGTCAAGAAAGAGGTACAATTTTCTCCCACAGTCATAGCATTGAGATTAGCTGTTGATCCCCCACTTACATTTCTGAACAAGGGAAATGATTGATTTTATTTATATTTCTATTACCTTCAAATGTCTGCTAAAGTTTGCTCTGCACCAGTGAATATAACAGAAGTGAATGATTCACTGTTAGCAAATAACTCCAGGTACTAAATGTCTCCATCATTACTTATCTCCTTCAAACAGTCTCCTTCCCACCTGTTGTTTAAGAGTAGTTCACTTACAGCTCTCCTCTCATCTTCCGCTTGCCATTAGGAAGAAAGAGCATTTGTCGATACGACTCTGGTGTAAAGGGATTGATGTTGACAAGAGAAGCTTGCGTAGAGTCATCTGAGTCAGCACCAGGAGTAAATCTCAGATGTCGGAAGCCTTTGGGTGGGACCTTTGTCCCAGAAGAAGGAAAAGCTGTCTTCGATAACAGGCTCTGTATTGAGAAAAGAAATAAAACATGGCAGATAAGCCAGCAAAACATTTTTGTTGCTGCTATGTCAGAATAAAATCACTACTCTCCTGCAAATCAAGAGCTCAACTCCCTTCCTCAGAACAGCTGAATCATTAAAACCCTGCATCCTTAATTTAGTCCTGACTGTTTTCTTCTCCTTCCACAAAGTATTATGTTCTTTGCTAAGCCCTTTCAGACTCTGTTCCCTGCTCACTTGGGTGAGGCCTGCAGAGCCATTTTGGCATGCACAGTCCTCAAAAGGAGCCATCTCCTCTTGCTCATCTTTCCCACCCACAGAGACACAGAAATTGCATCATATGTTGCATTAACATGGAAGACCCAGTTCTGTCAAGCATGGACTGTCGCATCAGTTCCATCAGGATGGGTTTGTCAGGAGATAAGATAGAACATCACCCAAGTTTCCTTTCAGTTCCCCAGCAATAAGCAGCATTAGTATAGGAGAAGTTGGTAGAAATATTTTTATATGGCTACAGGTAAAGTGACCAGAAAACAGTTCTCTGAGAAGAAAGAACAGTTTCAGAAATTTAAGTTCAGAAGGAACTTCTGGATCTTCTATAGTTCAGCTTCCCACAGAAGACAGGCCCTTGCGTTTCACCTGCTAGTCCAAAAGCTTGGGGCGAGTAAAGCATAACTTGAGACTCACCCAGTCTTGCTCTGAAAGCAGAAAAATCTACTTACTTTCCATGATTTGACCCCTTCAGTGACCATCTGCTTTTTGAAATATGTTTGGTTTTGACTTGTGTTAGCTTTAAGAGAGTGGTGTAAGGTCTAAAAGAGGTTTTAACATATGTCTTCTAGTTAATAGCCCTTCAAGAACTAGAACTCTCCCTGTCATGAAAATCAAGAAACTTCTCTATCTTTTTGATCCAACAGTGGTCTTACTCTTGCAAGCGGAGATGTGGCTCCACAATCATATCTAGAGTTCTTCCCTTTCCTCACTGAAAGTTTTTGAAGATAAAAACCTAGAGTTGCATGCAGTATCCTGCATCCACCTAATTGATACTGCACTCAGATATAGCTACTTCAGGGACATCCCTCTATTTCTATACCATACTCAGAAGTTCAGCTACTGGTTTACTATGACCCTGGGAGTGCTTCTTGGTCACTTTCTCAAGTCTTGGTCTGCATCTCCTCACTCTTGGATGGAAAAGTTCTGCATAGGGATGCATTAAAAGCAGTACATGTCCAAGCCCAATTTACCCAGCAGCCTAGAAGCTCTGTAGAATTGTGGCTATATTCTACTCTAGCCACAAGTCAGGAAAGAGATCTAAAAATACCATTGCAGCCTGCTGTTGTACGCATGCGATTCTCATCTGCTTTACTAGGGCTTGGTCTTGTAATTGAGCAGACTTGTCTCCTGTAACATCATCTGAGAGTAGCTGCTGTCATACAGTATAAGGCAGCTACCATAACTAGCTCTAGCAATCTGTTCCAGGATTGGGTAAGTCTACAAAATACAATCATCTGCCTCCTCTGCCATGCATCCTAGCTGGGGCTCCAGTGCTCATCTGTCTGCAGTTAGATGTGGCTCTGCTCTCTTACCTTCAAATGTTCCAAGATCATTGCTCCCAGCTTCATTGATAAGCAGATTTAGGCCCTTTAGAGCCCACCTTTTGCAGCATGCTTGGAAACCAAGACCTTTCTCACAGAAGACAGCAGAGGAAAACAAATTGTTGATTTAGTGCAATTGCTGCTCATGGGCTACAAGGTGACAAACCACGAGCAGCATGTCTTGAAGCATCCATCCAACGTGTTATCTACACAAGAACACACAGTGAAGCACCCTGCACTACCAGTAGCTCACCTGATCTGGAAGAGATGCTAGACATGTCACCTATTTTCAGATGAGATTCAGGGAGATTTCTTATAAAGGGTCATTGCAGGAAATTCTTGGAGTATTGCCATTTAGAGCCACTTTCCCCTGGAGAGTGGCAGGCCATTCCTCAGTAACTGTGGTCACACAGTGGCCATACAATCATTCTTCTCTCCACATAATCAGGTTTCTGGAGAGGGACAGAAGTCAAATCCTAGCTCAGAAGTACTAAAAGGACTTATCTTCTGTGTACCACTTAAGCAAAGAAGCAATCAGTCTATCAGTAGAGCAGAATATTGAGAGAAGATTGAAAAAATTACATTTCATTTGGTTTTGACTGCTAGAAGCCAATACACACAACAGAAGATATCTAGGAACAAAAAAGCTGCAACTAAGCCTCCACTTGGGCTTACAAGAAGACAAAAAGCAGTTGTATTATATTCTATACAAGAAGTTTCACAGAAAACAGGGGCTGGGATCATTCTCCCAAGAAACCAGCTCAGTAGGTAAGTTACATTTTAGGACAGCAACATAGAGGAAGAGAGGCTAACCTTCCTCTGCGAGCACATTGATTTCTTACCCCTTCTACAGGGGATTTGCTACTCCAAGAACAAAGTCCTGCTTCCCCCAAACTCACTGAGCAGCTGTGGTGGGTTGACCTTGGCTGGACAAAGGTGCCCACAAAACTGCTCTATCACTCCCCTCCTCAGCAGGACACAGAGGGGGCGAAAATAAGATAGAAAAAAACTCATGGGTCAAGACAAAGGCAGTTTAATAAAGCAAAAGTTGCACACAGCATCAAAGGAAAACCAAAAGATTTAGTCTCTACTTCCCATCACCAGGTGATGTCCGGCCACTTCCCAGGAAGCAGGGCTTCAGTATGTGTAGCAGTTGGTCCAGAAGACTTATGTTGTAAATAATGAATGCTCCTCCGCCCCCCTTTCTCTCAGCTTTTTTTGCTGAGCAGACATCATACAGTACAGAATATCCCTTTGGTCAGCTGGGGTCAGCTGTCCTGGCTGTGTCCCCTCCCAAAGTCCTGCCCACCCACAGCCTACTGGTGAGGGGGAATGTTGGAGGGACAGCCTTGATGCTGTGCCAGCACTGCTCAGCAGTAGCCAAAACACCGGTGTGTTGCCAACACCTTGTTGGCTACCAGTGCACAGCACTGTGAGGGCTGCTATGGGGAAAGTTAACTCCCATCTCAGCCAGACCCAATACAGCAGCAGCTCAGTTTCACACACACACACAAAAAGAATCAGTGTCACTGGACAACAAGCTGGTCGGAGGCAATCCAGACTTACCAGACAAAGTATATCCCAGCCACAATGCCATTTCCAACTTTCTCTTTCAAGAGAAAACCCACTTGCATCCAAAAAACATGCTGAACAGAGCATTCGGGGCAGCTGCCTGTCTCCAAGCTCCCCCTGGAATTATGAGCTCCTCAGAGAGATGCATTTATCCCTCTGGCAGCACAGCACGCACTTCCTACAGAGACCTACAGATGTCCACTCCCCTGAACAGAAGGTGAGGGACACACCAGCAGTCAAGGCACATGGTTGCTTGTTTCATTTAAGTCAGAGTGGCCCAACACCAACTAACTGGTTTTAGCAACAACTTGGAAAGAATCAAGAGACTTGCTCCCACACATAGGTTTCTAGTCACGCTCACAGAATAACCCTTCCATAGCTAAGAAGCTCACGGTCCAGGTTTCTAAGGGAAGAGTAGACACTAACAACAGTAACATTAAAAAAATGCTTTCCACAGAGCTAATAACAGATCTCCTCACTACCCACACACTGATGCCCCAGCAACGCTGCAGACCCTGCCTGCTCAGCCACAGAGTTGATACATGCCATTACCTTGGGAGTGTGCGGGGTGTCACACAGCTGCAGATTTTTCCAAGTGATGTGCAGCGGTGTCTCAGCATTACACAGGTTCTTGCCCACAGCCAGGGAAGGCTCCAGGGTGGGACTCACCCAGGCTTTCGTCCTGCTCAGGAAAATCTCACTAAGCTTTCTCTGAGGGGTTGCTGGTAGAGGACTGCTCCCTTGCCACTTCTGGAACTCACAGCTCCTAGGGGGGCTTGAGCTCAGGGCATCTTCCTCATGTATGCTTCTGTCTTCACTCTCTTCACCACAGCTGGAAAAATCCAGTCGCTGAATGAATTCATCGCAGTTGTCCCAGTCATCCATGTCACCATAAAACAGAACAGGTAGAGCTGATACTGGCCTGCTTTTTTAGAGGGAGGAGAAAATAGCATTATTTATACAGACTAACCACCCTCTTCCTTGCCGTATCAAAGGCATTGGTTCCACTCACCACACACACTCCCTCGCCCCAAGCTCCCATACACAGAAGTCATGATCACTCATAGGTGTCATTTGATGGTATTGGTTAAGGAAGCGTACCCCAGAATTAGCAAATACAAATCCATTCGGTTACCATTCACTTAACTACAACAGATTCTGCTTTTCACCTTGTTGGTGCAAGTCAGATACAACTCAGAAGTCACTGCCTTTCCCAATAAGCCTCTAAGGTAATTTCTCCACCCACCAGTACTTCATCTACTACTCTCATCACACATAGAAACAAACCTATCAAACCCTAAAGAACACCACACACTAGCCCTCCCCTCATCCTTTTCTACCTTAAATTTTCCAACCAAAGAACCCATGCTACATACAGCTGTAGAAGCAGAAGATACACCAAACACCCTACAGACAACCCTTCTCCTGGCACATTTATAACCACCCCACACACCTGGGCCATTGCTAATGGGAAGCATCTGGAGCTCAGCACCACCTGCACACACCTGCCTGTGCCTAGGAAAGCTGCTGGCTGAGGGGGTTTGCTGTGGGTGTGGATTTGCTGTGGATGTGGATAATTTTCTGTGCCTGCAACCAGCTCTGCATGGAGCCAGGGCTCCCTCTGACTCCTTGCTTCTGCACGCTCTGCCCTCCTCCGGCTTCCCGGGGCCTACAAGGAGGTGATGTTTGCTGACAGCCCGTCTGTTCCATGTTAATCCCATCAGAGATGCAGTCTTTGTGGGCTTTACTTGTATAAAAGTGATTAGTCTTGTGCTGATGGGGCCCTGTGCTTCCTTCTTTTAAGTGTGAATTTCACTTCCTGCACTTAGATGTGTATTAGTTTGGACAAGTGTTGCAGCGTGGAGAGGTTAGTAGCCTAATTTATAACATGCTAGACTTCAGGAGAGAGTTAGGGACGGTGCGCAGGTCTCTGTATGGGTTCCCATCTTGAGGTTTCAAGCGCGTGCCCCAGGAGAGGAGGGAGAAGCTGGCTGTGTTGGTGAAGGCAGCCCTGCAGGTAGGGTCGCTCTGCTGCTCACCAGGGTCAGGTCAATGTCTCCTCTCGCTGCGCCTTTCCAGAAAAAATGGGGATCTTTCTGTGCCTTTGTGAGCTTGTGTTTCAAAGAGGGACCAGAGTGAGCTTTAACTGGGAACGAGGTTACAGCAGCCTTTTTTCTTAGCATCGAGGAGAGCTGCTAGGACATGCAGAAATTGGAAGTGGCCACGGCCCAGAAGAGATGGGGGTTGTCAAAACTGACATGTGCTTTCCCATGCACACGTTGAGGGGAATTCCCGCCAGAAAATAAAGGGACATGTCAATCTGAGGTCGCTCAGCCCTCCTAACCTGGTCTTTGAATCAAAAGCATGGCCATAAGGGTCTCTGGAGTGGCCTGTTAAGGCTGTGATGAGCAAGTCATTTGATACAGGCCACCAAAGCCGTGTCAGGAGGATGTGCCAATATTTACTGCTGCATCTGCCCCAGAGGTTGTAGCGTTTCTTCCAGGCACAGAGCTGGTTACTGCCGTGCAGACTCCCTTCTCCTGCGGCGCAGGTGCTGCATCTCCCTGCACCTTACCTCGAGTGAGTGCTGGCACTGGCTGCTTTTTGCCATGAAAAACTGTCTCTGCAGCAGCTGGCCAGCTGCGGTCCTGTGATAGGACCACTTTAATACTGCTGTACTCTGACTGTGTTAATCGGATGTTCAGTACTTACAGCCTTGGATAGGAATATTTTATTATAAAACTGAATAAATAATGCTTTTAGTCCCCATAACTACATTTTGATTGAAAACACAGCAATGAAACTCCTTCAGACCACAATTGTTAATCCCATCTGAAACTTTTTTCTTTTTTTTCTTTTTTTTTTTCCCTTAGGGTCTATAGGCAGTATCCATTTTTCTAAGAAGGAATGTGATATATAAAGGAGAAAAGTTAGACTTGCTGTATAAAGAAGGACCAACTTGTTCATCTTGCATCTTCCAACTAAAAGCCACCACATTTTAATTTCATATTTTTTCTAGAGGACTGCTCAAAGATCTGACAACAATTTTCTCAGCCCTCAGTTGGAGGGAAAATGTGTTAATTTTCTGTTGAAGGAGAGTTTTTACTCCTAAAAGGGTCATATTACCTCCCGGCCTAGGTATTTTCTATTTTGGTGAAATAATTGAGTAGAAAATGTGCCCTTTGGCTTTTGTATGCATCTAACAAATGGTGTGCCCTCTGGCCCAAGTTGCTGGTCAGAGCAGCATAAATAGCTCTGGTGCCACCGTGTCTCTTGTCCCATGAGGGCTTTGTCACCAAAAGCCGAGAGCTCGGAGGGTGATGACATTTCGTGTATCTCAGAGCCAGCGCTGGCAGCCTCTACGCCCCATCACTTGCTGCTGTCCCCGCTCCATCCTCTCTCTCCTGCTGGGGCGACGCTGGGGCGACCGCACGGCAAAGGGAACCAGGAACTGCTCTGCACCACAAATGGCCACGCGGGTTGTGGAAGAATTTTTATTCAGGATTTGTTTCCTCCGCCTGGATCGCTGGGGACAGACTGACATTTGTGCCAGCACCACTGCAGGGATGAAGGAGAGGAGAAGAGAGAAATGAGCTGTCACTTTAGCATCACTGACATGCAAAAAAATATTCATCAAAATGTAGCTTGACACTGTCTATATAGTTAAAGCGAAGCATGTGGCCATGTATTTGCAGAATCTGGCCTTTCTTTATACAGTAACAAAATATTGTGCAGGGTTTGTTCTGGTTTTTTTCTTCACCAGTCACCTTCCATGAAAAACTCCATCTGCTAAACACCACCTACTGCGGTTTATAGCTCTGCAAAGTAAACTTGTGCATGGGCTTTGTGAAACAAAGCTGTCTGAAATAAAGCTCACAGCACATAGATGCTAATCTTACCAAATAAAAAAAAAAAAAAAAAAAAAGAGAAAAAACCCAAATCTACTGACTGTTGAGGAAACTGGATTATGAGTTCTTAATGGCGTATTGAACACTCAGAGCTGCTCAACAGGAAAAAAGTTAGACAATTAAGGCTTTTATGACAATATCTTCCCTTTAATTGTGGCCTGCTTAATTGGGTAATTCAATTAATCAGAAAGTCCTAGGGAACCAAGTTAAACCTAATGACACTTAATGACATCGGTGGTAGCGTATTGAGGATGGTAATTACCCAGAAGTTGGCTGCCTGTGCATGCTTTGGTCTTACTGTGTCTCCATCTTTCAACCTCAAGCCGATTCTGCCTGTTCCTCTGAAAACTGTTTCACATCCTTCTATAGCACGTATGGATACATATATACACACACCAGCGTATACCGGATCAGTATCATTGCCTCAGATTTGCAGCTTGCAGTTTCCACACTTGGCCGCCATTTGGGGGTGCGGGAGCCTGCCCCGTTCCTGGCCCTGAGGCTGCTCTGCCCAGCTCCCCGGGCTCACTCAGGGCTCCCCTTAGCGCTCCTGCTCAAAGAGGCAGCTGGCCTGCCTTGGAGCGGGGGGCACAGAAGGCCGGCAGCCGGCC